CAGGTAATTAATATATATGTATATATATATTTACTTTTATCTAAGAATGAGTACTTCCTAGAAAATGTGAAAGCTGACCTGTTTTACATCTGAAGTATAGATGTCCTGGAATCTGTTAGTATGATGGGTCGCTTCCTGTCCTCCAACTGTTAGGGAACCAGCAGACTCTTGCTATTATATTAAACTTGTTAGTGCTCACTGGTTAAAGCAATTTTCCCAAGGAGATCTTAAATATTTTAAAGGAGTTTAGTGATCTTTCCCATCTGTTGGCTGAAGTTTGTGGACATAGAACTTTACTAAGATATTGGAACTGGGGGCAATCAGAGCAGTTTTAGTGCATTGTAGCGCCAGTGCTCATTCAAAGGGACAGCTTTACTTAAGTCATTTGAGAAATACAGCCTAGAGACAAGACAACTACTGGATCATATGGTTTGCAGTTGAATAAATAAATAGTCACAAACCCACTTTGGCAACAGCCTGACTTCTACACCACTTCCCATGGAAGGTTCAACCCCTTACGCATTCCCCACTTTGTCTCTCATTCCCAAACTTACCAAAGTGAATGCGGATTCCCCAAAAAATGACAGTACAGGAATGGAATGGAACTGGACAGAAGTTACTATGGAGAAGAGAAAGCTAGGGAAGACAACCAGGTGCTGTAAAGGAGACTATAAGCTTGTTTCCTGATGTTGGCATTTTTTTCCCCTGAAGGAAAACTACAGCAGTCTGGGCTCTGTGAATTGCTCTGCTGATGACACTATCAAAGATATAAACAGCAACAATTTGGAAAGTCTGCTCTAAGATACTGAAGCTGCTAGGAAATTGCTTTCTAGGGAAAAGTCCCCATGGCAACATAATCTAGGAAGGGTTGATTTCAAAATTTGTGTCCTTCTTGGAGCAGAACTGATTACAGTGCCTTTCTGTTTGAATCTGTTTGGGTGCTAGCACTGCTTATGGGAAATCAGAAGAGACCAATGCTGTGGTTAACTCTGTTGGCATTTTTCCAGGCTCACATTAGTAAGCAGCTATATATGGACTGTAGAAAATGTTGCAGGTGGTGGTTTAGTTCTCTTAGACACGCTTACCAATTGTGCTTGATCCACTATTTGTTTGCTGCAGTTCCTGATACACTGTATTTCATCTGTGGGATTGGTATAATCCTACCTGGACACCTTCAAATACTTGTCCCTTTAAGAATCCTTCACACCCATTAGATGCTATTGAACACATTTTTCCTACTTTTACTTCATCTCCAGCATCATGAAGAACCAGAATCAGAAGCCTTTGCTGGGATGTTTCCTGCCTTGCTTATGATCCAAACAATGAAATGGCCATGTATACAGGAGTTGTGTTTTCACTTAGGAAGCTCCTAGAATTTGTTGAATTTCAAACTCTAACTCCCATGCTAAAAGCTATGGAACCATTGTTTCTGGAACAGATGAGCAGACTTAAGTTATGGTAGATGCAGGACTACCTGTCACATTTCTCAGCTTGCTAACCCTAAACCAATAACGTTCAGAAGGAAGCGACAGGAACAATGTTGAGCATCACAGATGGTTGTCAGGACCAGGAACAAGATTTATACATTATGGATTAGTCTCATTTTTCATTGGTATTCTCTATAAAGCAGAGTTTAAGATACAAAAGGAAACTGTCTAGGCTGTGACCATATGAGTGGTGGAAGGGTTGCACAGATTGGATGCTCCACTTACTGTGCCTCAATAGACCAACTAAGGAATTTTTTTTTAACTGTGAAAGATTCTCAAAACATACTAGTTATTCTGAACTATTCCAATTATCTTTCAGCCTACAGAGAAACTTGGTATAGTGATTTAAAAATATATGGAGGTTTAGACAAGACTGAGGCTCTTTAAAGCCATAAAAATAAGTTTATGAACAAGATGTTATCAAGCTTAACTGAGAAATATTTCTTGAGTAGAATAAGTCCAAGATCTGGGGATACAGCTCAGTTAATAGAGCACTTGCCTAGCATGAACAAAGTCTTGGGTTTGGTTTGCATTGCACAAAATCAGGTTCTCAGCACGCAGGAGGTAGAAGCAGGATGACCAGGAGGAGTTCAAAGGCAGTCTCAGCTACATAACTAGTTCAAAGCCAGGTTGGATAATGTGAGACCCTATCTCAAAAATCAAAACCAAACAAAAAGAGGCTCAAAGTGTGTCAGAAACTACTTCTGAATGCTGTACTTTCCAAATTCAGGATAGTACTACTAACACCTTAAACTTAAATATTACAGCTGAGATATTAAGTTACCTGCTGTATTATATATGATATTTAACGTAAGTTTTTCCTATTATTCCTTTAACACAACATTTTTTTTTTTGAGATGAGGTCTGTGTAGTGCAGGCTGGCCTGAAACTTGCGATCTTCCTGCCTCCATTTTCAAAATGCTGGGTTTACAGTTGTGCGTCATGATTCCTGCCTTAACAATTCTCTTATAATGTGGTTTGTTACTGTAGCATTAAAAAATTAAACTGTATTTGAACAGTAGTTCCAAACTATACATAGTATATGAAGCCTGACCCTGAATGAGTTTATTTCTATGCATAACGTCATATATTGCAGTGAATTGTTTTTTTATTTTATTTATTTATTAAAGATTTCTGTCTCTTCCCCACCGCCGCCTCCCCTTTCCCTCCCCCTCCCCCAATCAAGTCCCCTTCCCTCATCAGCCCAAAGAGCAATCAGAGTTCCCTGCCCTGTGGGAAGTCCAAGGACCACCCACCTCCATCCAGGTCTAGTAAGGTGAGCATCCAAACTTATTGCAGTGAATTGTAAATAAAGATGAAATTCTGCCCTTTACTTCACAATGGCTTACCTACTGTCACCAGATGTATGCACAAGTTATCCTTCTGTACTGTGAGTGTACATTCTAGATCATTAATTTGGACATTTTTCTCCCATTGAAAGAGAGAAGTTGCTGTTGTTATCTTGTGTCATGGAAATGGCTTCTTAGTCTTTTGTAGCTAAATTTAGATCTTAGAACTCTCACAGGGACCTGAGAACTAAGTGTCTGTCAACGACAATTCTTCATCCTGCCTATATGAATTACAGTGCATTCAAAGGAAAAAAAAAACCACACCATTTTAGACAAACACCCAAAAGATTTGCCTACTGTTAAGATCAGGGCTACACTAATGCTATTGGCTAAGATGAGTTACAGGGAAGGTTCCAAGCACTAGAGGCAGAATTTGGAAAGTACCTATATAGGAGATTTTAGGCACTGGTCATTTCCTGACACATTTCTAGTAAACATAGAATACTACTGCAGATTAAGATAGAATTGAAGGTGACCGTACTGTTAAATAAGGCAAATATTTTTGATTAACTGATCAGTTTTTTGGAAAGAAGTAGTCAGTAAAATACAGGAAATAGAAAGGCGAGTATACAGGTGTTAAGTGAATTACATGTATAATATAAATGTTCTTGTGGGCTACGGAGATGGTTTAGTTGGTACCTGTAGTGCAAGAATGAGGACCTAAGCTTGGATCCCCAGAATCTACGTAAAAAGCTGGTCATGGAGGTATGCACATCTAACCTTAGCACCAGTAATGTGAAGGTTGATAGATTCATGAAGCTCACTGGCCACACAGCCTAATGGGATTAATGAGCTTCAGGCTTTCAAAAGTGAAGAAGGTAGAGAAATATCTTAGCAGTTAAGAGCACCTACTGCTTTTGCAGAGGATCTGAGTTAATTTTCTAGCACACACATCAGAAAGCTCACAACTCTCTGTAATTCCAGTCACACAGGGATATAATGACCTCTTCTAGGCTCTGCAGGCATGTGCACTCTTATATACATACTCTCTCCTTCTCTCCCTCCCCCTCTCTTTCTTAAAAATAATACATATATTAACCCCAGTACTCCGGAAGCAGAGACAGACTGTGAGTTTGAGGCCAGCCTGGTCTACAAGAGCTTCCTTCAGGACAGGCTCCAAAACTACAGAGAAATCCTGTCTTGAAAAACTAAAATAATAATAATAATAATACATATAAATCTTAAAAAAATAAAGTGGAAGATGATGGAGGAAAGACACCTGACATCTACCTCTGACCTTAGTATGCATGTGTGAACATGTGTATATACCAACAAAGAATACACTACCTACCCACCATCACCACTACCCCCATCACACACACTTAAAATTATTGTGACCACTTGAATGGACTTACCCGAAGAAAGAAAGGAAACTTCCTGCCATAAAAGCCAACCCGGAAGAACTCAGGCTCCAGGCGTTGCTGCTCTATAATATTGTCATAGTAGCTGGCCTCCATTTTCTGTTAACAATAAAGGTGTGGTTGTTATCCAAAGCAAGTTCTCCTAGGCTCAACTAGACATTGTCTGCTAGAGACAGGTCATGGTAATTCAATCTAGGAAACAAGGAAATAAACCCCTAGATACAGATACTAGCAGCCTCTCCAGGGAACTGCATCATCGAGGAGGAAAGCCCTCCGTCCTTCTTCACTGTCATCTATAAGCCTGCCTACTGCACCCCTGTGAGGTTACTCTCCACAGTTTCCCTGGGCATGGACCCAGATCCATGGAGATCTGAGGCCTGAACTTGAGAGGTAAATATTTAACATGATTTGACTGACACTTGCTACACCATCTGATCCTTGACTAGGGCTGCTGGGAGCTGTCTACCAGCAACTCTCACTACCACTGCATGTCAGTCCATCTGCATCCACTCTTATTCACTGGAATTAAGATACTATTAACCACAGTTAGGAAGCCTTAATTGCGAACATCATTGATGTTGGTTCCAATTTAGGAGATTTTAAATTTGAAAAGATAACTAATATTCATGTTTAACATTACAAAGTCAGCAAGTTTTTCAGTATGGCTATTCTAGCTTCAAATTTAAGCATCTTTAGTCAGTAGCCCTCAAACATCAGCCAAAAAGCTACTTTAGAGAATCATGCCCAAATTCTAATCTAGACCAGAGATTTCTGGTCTTAGCTCAAATGCCTTAGCCACAGACAGGGTGTAGTAGATGATACTCTGAAACCACTATTTTTTCTCTGATGATGAAATAAAAACATATTGTGATTTAGAAGATAGCACTGACAATAAGTAAAGACTTTACAAAGACTTTCAAAATCCATGGGACATTTGATATGATTTTTAAATATTTTGCTCTAAAGAAGGGAGCAAGGACAAAGTGCTTGAATAATTACAAGATGCAGTGGGGAAAGTCCTTACAGTATTGGGTGCTGGTGAGCTATAAAAGCATTTGCTGGCAGCACAAGCCTGGTGGTCTGGGTTTGCTCTCCAGAACCCATGTAAAGATAAAGGAAAGAATGAGCCCACAAAGTAGTCACCTCACTCCACACATCATGCATGCCTACCTTATATCATGCACACTCACAAATAATAAATTAAAAAATTTTATATATCACTGAACAAAACAAGTTCATGGAAAACTTCTTCATGAAACTAGGTTGTACACATGCACATATGCACGCATGTGCACGTGCACACACACACACACACACACACACACAGAAATCACTATTCTATCATGTCTTATTTTCCTGAATACAAGTAGCTTTTAGGTTCAGATAATAAAGCTACCTATCAGGTATGTGTTTTTGTTCTCCAGTTAGACAATAAGTATCTTAAGGGCAGAAATCTAGTCTCTGTCCATGGTAATAACCTAAGAGCCTTGGGCTTTACTTAAAAATTGATGCCAGAAGCCCAGGAGTCTTTGGTCAGTCATACAGTGGAAGAGACAAAGCTTACCCGAATCCAGCTCAGGCTCTGATAATCATAGAGGCTCTCATACTGACATGCCAGCTCTCTACACAGAGGGATTCCAAACTCCCAGCTCTGGATAAAAGACAGGAACAGGGCTTCAGCACCTCAGGCATTCTAGAAATGGTTAAGTCCACACTGAACATATGAAAGACTAAAATAAAAGGCTAGCTCCAACTCATGTATTAAAAGGAACACAATCTTCAAAACCAATTTATATAGAGTAACACACAACATTGTTGTTTTCTAGCTCATGCAGAGCTTTCTAGTTTTTGCTCAAATGTCTTATCTTCTTGATGTGGGATTCCCCTCTGTATGCTGTGAATACCATTAGTTAATAAAAGATCTGCTTTGGGCCAAGTGCAGCACAGAATAGGGCAAGGTGGGCATTCCAAGCAGATAGAGGAGGAGAGAGTAGGCAGAGTCAGGGAAATGCCATGTAGCTGCCGCAAGAGACAGATGCCAGATGCCAGACAGAACCTTACCAGTAGGCCACAACCACGTGGTGATACACAGATTAATAGAAATGGTTAATTTAAGATATAAGAGCTAGCCAGTAGGAAGTATGAGCTAATAGACCAAACAATATTATAATAATACAGTTTCTGTGTGGTTACTTCAGGTCTGAGCGTCCAGGAAATGAACAAGCAGCCGCTGCCAACAGCTTCTATGCCTCTCTTGACTGCTTTTAGAAGAGGTACTTCTTAGTATATTTTGGTCTGCTGTTTTATGTTATCTCTTAAAAATATATTTACTTTTTTGCTGTATTTATTAGTCTATATTAGAAGATAAACTACATAAGGGAGAAAGCTATGCTTATGTACTTTATTTTCAGATGCTAGAACAATGGCAGGTATGACATCTATTCAGTACTTCTTTAATGAGTTAATAAAAGGATTATGAACCTTTGAATAGGGATCAATTGAGTTAAGAAAAATTATGGCAATCAGGCAGAAAGGAGCTGTCAAAGATCTGGCAGTAGGCCCAGCACTTTTCTTTTATGAAAAGACTATAACTTTAGGCTTCAGATGATCTTTGCCTACTTGGAGAATATATATTGTTCCTGTGATGCAGTTCCTGTTACAGCAAGAGGCCTATCTAACAGGTGTCTGAAGAAGGCTGCAGTGAACTTCATTCTAAGCAACTGTTCATTGCCTTCCTTTTTTTCTTTTTGTGGTGCTGAGGACTGAACCCACCAGGACCCTGTGAAAGCTGGGTAAGTTCTTTACCACTGAACTATACTTTCATCTTCCTCTCAATTATTACTGTATTTTCTTTCTCTTGGGTACTTAGAAACATTACTTTACATGATATTTAATTTAGTTTATTCTTCCCAGATTCCAAATACTAATTCAAACTTATACATGATGAACTTAGATACCTATCACCAACCTCAGCTATCACAAAGATGTCACACAGTACAGCAGAAGTTGAGGGGCTGAAGGTCTTGCTTTCTGACAATTACCTTGCCTTTGTTGAAGTAGTGGATGATCTTCCTACACAGTCCCTCTTTCCGCTGCCACTCAGTCTGGGATGGGTAGTGTAGGAACTCCCGTAGCGGCCTATCTTCCCATTGCAGTAGCTCACAGTAAAGAAGCAGGGTGAATGCAGCCTCTGCAGGGATAGACAGCATAGGGCACAGGGTTTCCTCTGTGGGCCCAGGAAGAGCTGAGCAAGAATATCAGAGCAAGGCATGGGTAGCACCCATGAGGGGTGCATCCACTGAGACAGTTTGCCTGAGCTAATGGGAGCTCACCAACTCCAACTAGACTAGGAATGAACAAGCATAGCATCAAACTAGTCCCTCTGAATGTGGCTGACAGTTGTATGGCTGGGGCAGACTGAGGGGCCACTGGCAGTGGCACTGGGATTTGTCTCTACTACACGTGCTGGCTTTTTGGGATCCCATTCTCTCTGGATGTATACCTTGCTCAGCATAAATACTGTGGGGAAGGCCTTGGACTTTCCACAAGGCAAAGTGCCTTACCCTCTCTTAGGATTAGAGGGGGTGGGGTGGGAGGGTGTGTGAAGGGAATGGGAGGAGGGGAGGGAGTGGGAATTTGGATTGGTATTTTTTTAAAGTAATAAAAAAAAGAAAGAAAAAAAAACCCAGCAACATCAAAAAGAACAGAGCTTGGTCACAGGAGAAAAGATGGTTCTTTAGGGGACTATGGTACAAGGGAATCACACAGAACATCCATGCATGCATCCTTCCTCTTCATTCAGAGATGCTCTCAGTAAACACATCATGACAGGCACTTTGCATAGACTGTAGACATAAAGGAAAGGCTCACATCTGTCCTGTCAAGAAGATTAATGCTGTCCACACTCTGTATTGGGAGCTCGGTGTAAGGGCTGGCGTGCAGTTTCAGAGGAGCCAGATCTATCAGTGAGCTCTAGAAATTCCAGGATTAAGGAGGCATTCCTTTGCTACAATCTTGGTTACTTTCAGCTTTGTTAAGACATAAGCAAACTTATATTTCTGAGGAGTGACAGAACTTCAAATGTTCTGAACCTGCTGCACAAGTATTTGGAAGTTACTCTCGAGTCCTCAGAGACATGGAGAGGAACAGAGGTGAGTGGAACAGTCCCAGACAGTAGAGGACAAGTATGGAACACATGTCAGGAAGAAGGAGTGAGGGACCCGGCACTGCTGAGATCTGGCAGATATCATTCTGAAGCCTTTCTCTGTATAGTCCCCATGTCTGTCCTAATGGGAAGACACAGTTCTTTCTTTTCTCTGACTCACCTGTGTAGTTTTCAGCCTGTAAGTGCATGTCACAAAGCTTATGGATGTATCGGATATACATTTCCTCTTTGTTAATCTCAGATTTGTAAAAGTTCTGTAAGAGAATGAAATATATTTAAGATGCAAGAGTCTATCCCCTTTGAAGGTCATTTCCAAGCTCCAGTCAGCCAGCAAAAACCCTGGCTTTGTCATCAGGAGGGAAGGAGGAAGAACTTGTGTCCTCTCACCATTAGGTTGACAGTGCAGCCAATCTTCTTGTTCTCTGTTTCTTCTCCTTTCATGCAGTCCCTGAAAGAGAGAACATAGATGTGACCCTGATATGAAGTGGTATCTCCTGGGACAATACATAAAACAGCAGCATTACTGGACTATCAGCATGGTCAGTTCTGAAAGGAGAATGCCTTTGAATAGGAAGTCCTTCAACAGAAGAGGACTGTATTGTGAGACCTTTCTCAGTTTTGTACCCAATCCTGGGGTTAAAAGATCTCTGTTGAACTCCTTGTTCTGGTTGCAGAGTATATAGTCCAGATGTATCCTCAAGGTATTAAGTGCCCCTTACCAATATCCTTAGTACAGAGGGATTTGTCTGTAAGGCAGATGGCCAAATTCTCAAGTTCTCAGGGAGGCAGAGAGTTATTCTTAGGGGGCAAGTTTCATATTATGGGAAAATGTGAACTAGAAGCCACAGTTTAGTCTAGAATTCATATAAAGTTAAGATATTACTGTCAAAGCTGAAGAGGACTTCTTAGAAGTTTGGCCAGTCTAAAAATAGGACTCACACCAAAGGTTCAAGTCATGCAGGACCACAACTTACTAGAAAAAATTAAGATTTTATATATAGCTCCTGTCTAAATGTCATAT